TTACTGATCACGTTTCAAAGATGTACTCTACAAAGTTTGCACCTTTTTAGCACTGGGCAAGAGCAATGTTCTCAGTTAAGATTCAGCCTTTTGATCACTACTATTGATTATTTCAGGGTTGTTCATTTTATATTTCATGACAGCCTTGGAGAATATTTTCTAAAACTGAGTTAAACATTTTATTTCAAATACAGTCTTGAGATGTGTTATGCCAAATTCTTGTGATGCTGTGATTTCTATCAGGCTTTTAGACACTTTAAATCAGGGGTGTCGAACTCATTTGTTATGAGGGCCAGGCCATGTGTGTGTCATAAAATATAATGCCAGGTAGCGGAGATATAAACTTTATAAAGGACACAAACACAAAGATTTTTTTTACTTTAAACAAAAACATGCTTAAAACATTAGCTCTGTAAGCTGCAAACCTACTTTTGATTTATTGACATTCACCACAGAAATCTCATGCTCAGAGTTCTGAGTCTAGGACCCAGGTTAAAACATGAAATGGCTGAGTGATTAAGAGAGTCTGGCGAAGCAAGCTATGATGCAGCAGCAGCAGCAGCAGAACTGGAAGCAAGAGATGGCCAGCTCCACTGCAGGCCTGATGGAAGCCCTCCGGGGGCCTGATTTGGCCCCCATGCCGCATGTTTGACACCCCTGCTTTAGATCAATAAGGTGTATGTTTGCCTCCTTTGCCTTTCCGCAGATTTTCGCAGGGGGCATTTCCAGTTCCCTCAAGGCCCAGGTGCAATTTATTTAGCTGCAGCCCCATAGCAAGGGATTTTGGGGGGGAGAGGGCCTTGGGGGGGGCACCAGCTAATTACATCAAAGGCTCCAGGGCAAGGGGCAAGGGGGGTCTGCTTGGCGCGCACCCACACAGCCCCCACTAGAGCCTTCCTCTGAGGCAAGCCAGAATCCCAATGTTAATAGACACTTAAAGGTCTAGGAAAGCAGCCCTGTTTTTTTTTTAAAAAAAGGAAAGCAGGGATCAAGCTTCCTCCCTCACTCCTTCCCTGAAGCCTGCTGCATAAATTCCAACAGGAGGAGCAAACTGCTGCAATCCGACCAATGTGTGTGTGACTCAGTCAACCACCGGCTGCTGCTGAGTCTTAAAGAGACTCAGCTCATCACAGATGAGCTCAAACAGGGAGACACTGGCTCAGATCGATCAGCGGGTGAGGGGGCTGGAAGGAGGGAGGGGGAGCTGAGGATCAGCAGCCTGGGCCCCATGGGCCCCGTGTTAGCTACGGGCCTGTTCAGCTGGCCTACAAAGGCTCCAGCAATTGCCGTGGAAATGGACACTAGCCAGGCAAGCGTAAACAGAGTCAACACTGTTCTAAACCCGCTGACTTCAATGCATTCGAAAGGGTACAACTCTGATTAGGACTGTACTGGAAGTCTCCCATGCACATAACCCAAAATACATAGTCGGGACCCTCTGTGCTTATTAGTTTGGGTGTCCAAATAAATAGAAAAGCACTCCCTGCTGGCTTCCGGTCTGGACTTCGCGAATGGCGGATGCACCTTCGGGACGCTCCCGAAGTCGTTTCGCCCACGCACGGCCAAGGGGGGGAATCCGCTCAAGCGGAGACCCTAAGGAGACCCAGGTAGGGGCTCCGATCCGGGGCGCACAGGGGATGTGCCTCTTTCCTGGCCGAATGGTTGGAAATTGAGGCTCGCCCCATGCCCCAATGGCCCTAGCCGCGGCAGTGCCCCGCAGGGGGACTAGCGGAGCCGCCGGTCGT